ATTGTTTAGTTTCAGATAACGAACGTTCGTTCATTAATCTGTTCTTCATTTTTCTTTTCTCGGATTAAATCCGCGATTTTTCTGATCACGATTTCTGATCCGATTTTCGTTTTAGTTTAACTTTTCGCTCGTTTATCGGAATCAGGCGATTCAAGCGCCTAGGGATTCGTCTCGAAACCCTCTATCCGTTTAACCAACCTAAACAAGATTTTGCTACTGTAAAAATTGCCCTAGATCCAGATTACTAGAACGAAGTTGTTTTCTTTCGCCGTTTGATTTTCGTTGTTTCGTTCGATTTGATTCTTTTGCCAACCGGAGTTCTTAAGTTGAACCTTCTGGTTAGATCTCTTATTTGAGTTTTACCTGTGCATTAGATAAGTACTTATTGTATGCTCGTTTGTTTGTTTGCGATAGAATATCCGGAGTGCGCCGCCTGTTACTTCGAATCGCTAGGTTTCCCGGATCATCAGCAAGGCAAGTAACACTTCGATCATACCTTCTCTACTACCCAGTTTTATTGCATTAGATCAATCCACACACATTGCATGATTAGGATCTAATTAAATTGTGGGAGGGGAAGTAGATGAGGTAGTACCTATTACCAGTTTATTTTCAAACCTTTAGGAGTTACTTCTACGTTTGCTTATCATGCCATGCTATGCTAGTAGACGTGGATTGGGTGAGTGAAATCCATTGACAAATGTGAGATTGTTAATTAATGGTTTATCTAAGGTGGCAACTTAAACACACATCTGGGTGGATTGAGGCACCTGGGTATTCCAGGACTTGCCTGTTTTCTTTTGGACCGCCACCCAGGCTCAAAGGGATCATAAGACTATTCATACTAGAAACTTCCGTGTGCAGCCACAAGCTATTACGGGCTCTAGCATAGTTGACTAAGTTGTGCGAACTCTTACAGTGGTAGACTAGCAGATGTAGGGGATGTAGGTGGTATGGTCTACCCGATCGTAAGGTGCTAGCGCTTCTGAAAGACTATGTCTCGGTCATCCGTCTTCTCAAACACCCTGTAGTGCGAGAAACCAAACGGAGGCGATCGAGTCTTGTGGGGAAAAGTGTGCAAACCTCTGCAGAGTGTAACAAACTAATCATGATTAGCCGTGTCCCCGGTTATGGACATCTTGAGTATCTAGTACTTGGATTATCATGTGAATCTCAACATGTTACTCTAAATTAATTTTGTTGGGTTATGTTTAATGATGATGCTTAATTGGGATTGAGAATGCTGTCAACCATTCTCAATGTTTAACAACTACCATGATAGTTAAATAAATTTTATTCCTTTGAAGTAGGGAAAAATTGGCTTTACGCAAAAATTGTAACCATAGAGCTTTCCACCAGCCAAATATGCATATAGTATAGCTGTTGCATTCCATTACTCTCTATGTGTTACCTTGCCAGCACGTTCCATGTGCTGACCCGTTTTCGGGCTGCAACGTTAATGTTGCAGACTTTTCAGACGATGATTAAGGAGTTTTAGGTCGTGGTTCTATACTCAATGATGCCGTTGGAGTTGATGGACTCACTTATCTTCCAAGCCTTCCGCTGTTATCGTTATTAGATGGCCATAAGCCATATTTATTGTAATAAGTTCTCTTCTGAGACACTCGATGTAATAAGTGTGTGATTGCTACTCTGTTATAAATCCTCCGAGTACTGTATGGTGTCAGCATTACTGATCCAGGGATGACACCGGAGCACAAAGATTAAACTATTTGAGGTCTGGTCGCTACACATGTGTTGTCATTTGATGAACCGGATCACATCATTAGAGAATGATGTGATGGACTAGACCCATCCATTATCTTAGCACTACGATCGTTTAGTTTATTGCTATTGCTTTCTTCATGACTTATACATGTTCCTATGACTATGAGATTATGCAACTTCCGAATACCGAAGGAACACTTAGTGTGCTATCAAACGTCACAACGTAACTGGGTGATTATAAAGATGCTCTACAGGTGTCTCTGATGGTGTTTGTTGAGTCGGCATAGATCGAGATTAGGATTTGTCACTTCGATTGTCGGAGAGGTATCTCTGGGCCCTCTCGGTAATGCACATCACTATAAGCCTTGCAAGCAATGTGACTAATGAGTTAGTTGCAGGATGATTCATTACGGAACGAGTAAAGAGACTTGTCGGTGACAAGATTGAACTAGGTATGATGACACCGACGATCGAATCTCGGACAAGTAACGTACCGATGACAATGGGAACAACGTATGCTGTTGTGTGGTTTGACCGATAAAGATCTTCATAGAATATGTAGGAACCAATATGAGCATCCAGGTTCCGCTATTGGTTATTGACCGAAGATGTGTCTCAGTCATGTCTACATAGTTCTCGAACCCGTAGGGTCTGCAGGCTTAACGTTCGATGACGATATGTATTATGAGTTATGTGATTTGATGTACCGAAGGTTGTTCGGAGTCCCGGATGAGATCAAAGACATGACGAGGAGTCTCGAAGTGGTCAAGATATAAAGATTCATATATTGGAAGGCTACATTCGGACACCGGAATGGTTCGGGTCGTTTCGGAGTACCGGGGATTACCGGAACCCCCCGGAAAGTTATTGGGCCTCATGGGCCTAATGGTGGAAGAGAGGAGGCAGGCCAAGGTGTGGCACGCCCCCCCCCCTAGCCCATACCGAATTGGACTAGGGTTAGCTGGGTCCCCCCCTTCCTTCTCTTCTTCCTCTCCTTCCATCTTCTCCTACTAGGACTAGGAAAGGGGGAAACCTACTCCTACTAGGAGTAGGATTCCTCCCTTTGGGTGCGCCCCTTGTGGCCGACCCTCCTCCTCCTCCCCTCCTTTATATACGGGGGAAGGGGGCACCCCATAGACACACAAGTTGATCTTTAGCCGTGTGCGGTGCCCCCCTCCACAGTTTTACACCTCGGTCATATTGTCGTAGTGCTTAGGCGAAGCCCCGTGTCGGTAACTTAATCATCACCGTCGACACGCCGTCGTGCTGACGGAACTCACCCTCGGCCTCAGCTGGATCAAGAGTACGAGGGACGTCACCGAGCTGAATGTGTGCAAATCGTGGAGGTGCCGTGCGTTCGGTACTTGATCGGTTGGATCGCGAAGACGTCCGACTACATCAACCGCGTTACTAAACGGTTCCGCTTTCGGTCTATGAGGGTACATAGACACACTCCCCTCTCTCATTGCTATGCATCTCCTAGATAGATCTTGCGTGATCGTAGGAATTTTTTTGAAATACTGCATTCCCCAACAATTATGGCCTTTGCAGATCTCGCCCAAAGAGTGATACACATCATCTTGGATCCAAGTACACACTTTGTATGCTTTATTGGAGAGTCGCGAATATGCACTCTTGCTTCTAAATGTATGTTTAGGGTTTACCGACGAGAAATACCAAACAACATTTAGTTTGTGAAAGCATCATCATTCTCTGGTCCACCTCATCGTCAACCTCATCCATGTAAAGCGAAGCGATTGGTTTATCTTTAATCCCCGCGACTTAAATAAAGAATATCGTTCTTTTTTTTCCATCGAAAGGGGTATTTCATCCAACCCTACATACACTTTCCCCCTCTATGTCTACCTGTTTTAACTTTTTCCTTCTGGTTTTTATCTATTTTTTCTTGAAAACTATCTTAACAACCCACCTTTGATTGACTTACCAAATAAAATGATGCTTACTTTGGTAAGCCAATAACTTATTAACAAATAAGTGATTTCTATTTAGATAGGTAAATAACATACCTGATTTTCTAAACATTTACTTACACAACCACACTAATATGAGCATGTAAATTACGGGATAAGATACTAGAATATTTATATATCTTCTTGCAACACACACGCATTTATCTAGTGATAAAATATATACGGTGAGAGAGAAGACTCCCCTCGTATTTTGCTTGCGACTTACCCCTTCGCCTCTCCTCCAAGCTAACTGCAGCTAGGGTTTATGACCCCCGTCTGCGGCACCGCCAACCTGCTTCGTCTCGTGTGGCCTTAGGGATAGGGTCATGTGGGAGGGCTCCGTTTTATACGTTTCTTTGTTTTGCTAGGTTTTGTGTCCTACTCAGGGAAACGAGACGACAACGGCTCCTTGAAGGTAGAATAAGGTTCTTCTCGCCTAGCCCCCATCCCGGCGATCCATCTAGCATCGTTGAAGGTCGTGTGGAGGTGTGTCTCTGGCTGATCTCGCAGGATTCAGTCGGTGGTTATTTTTGGTGGATCCGCTCGGATCCAGTCTTCGTTTGTCCACATCAATGTGTTTTCAGGTTGGACCCTTTTGATCTACGCTTCTCTTCATCGGCGGCGGTTGTTGTTCTGGTGCGCTGGTCCTACGAGGCCTTAGCATGATGACTTCTCTGACTGTCGTCTACAATAAGTTTTGCCGGCTCCGACGAGGGAGAGGCGATGACGGCGACGCGCCTTCTGCTCACTTCAGTGGTGGTCTACGAATGTGGATGTAATATTTATTCTTCTGGGTATTCGTTGCACTGCCATGATTGATGATAAATACAATGGAAGTTTTTTAAAAAATACGGTGAGAGAGAGAGGAGGCAAATTGCATATATATGGTGGGAAGAATGAGTCGGCAAGAAGATGTGCAGCACGTTTTTCATATGAGAAATTCGTCATGCCCACTAAAGGTATATTGGTTCAAACAATCAAAATATAAACAAATGAAATTTTCATCGCTGATCGACCAACCGACCCCACTTTCAGCGGGACTCGAAGCCGCCATCTCGCGTGCCCGCATCTCCACCAACCAACCCGCGCACGTAAGGTCCCGAACCCATCCACCAACCCAGCATCCATCTCCGCCATCCAATCCCTCCATCCGACGGTGCGGATCGACCCCCAAACTCTTCGCGGGCTCCCACCCCCACCTACCCCACCCCGCCCGCCTCAAATCCCCGCCACATCGGGAGTTACCGGACACAACCACCGCCGCCGCCGCCGCCGCCGCCGTCTCGCGACCAAACGACCCCCATGGCGGCCGCCGCCTCCTCCCTGCTTGCCGCCGCTGCATCCTCCAGTTCCCGAGCAGCCATCTCCGTCCGCCGCCCCCGCGCAGCTTCTGCCGCGGCCGCGGCCGCCGCCTCCATCCCCTCGTCCTCTCGCACATCCTTCACCCCGCTCCGCGCCTCCCCCGCGAGGGCCCTCCGGAGCCTCGTCGTCGCCAGCGCCGCTCCCGCGATGGAGCCGCCGGCGGTGTCAAGAGTCTCCACTGTGGTCGACGTCGACCTCGGCGACCGGAGCTACCCGATCTACATCGGCCCCGGCCTCCTCGATGAGCCCGACCTGCTGCAGAGGTACTCGAATTCAGCAGGGTTTTAGCTCGAGTGGCTGCTCCGTTTGCCCGTTTGGGAGTCCTGATATCTAATCCGCGCAGGCATGTGATCGGGAAGAGGGTTCTGGTGGTGACCAACACTACCGTCGCGCCGCTCTACTTGGAGAAGGTGACCTGGGCGCTCACGCACCAAAACCCTAATGTGTCCGTCGAGAGCGTGATCCTGCCCGACGGCGAGAAGTACAAGGACATGGTGCGTGTGGGATTCAGCGTTTACTCGTGCTTCAGTTTGTTTCATCATCTGGATGTTGTTAACTTGTTGGGATTTGCAGGACACACTGATGAAGGTTTTCGACAAGGCGGTGGAGTCCCGGCTGGACCGTAGATGCACATTCGTTGCGCTAGGTGGCGGTGTCATTGGGGACATGTGTGGGTTTGCAGCTGCTGCATTCCTCCGTGGTGTCAATTTCATACAAATACCCACAACTCTGATGGCCCAGGTTCTAAGCTTGATTTGAATTTAGTAGGGGTTTTAAGACATTTGATTTGGTGCTAATGTGGGTCTGGATGAATTGCTTTAGGTGGATTCTTCTGTTGGAGGGAAGACTGGGATTAACCATCCACTGGGAAAGAACTTAATTGGCGCATTCTACCAGCCGCAGTGTGTACTCATTGACACAGAGACACTGAATACATTGCCTGACAGAGAGCTGGCTTCAGGTGTCGCTGAGGTGGTGAAGTATGGTCTCATAAGAGATGCACCCTTCTTTGAGTGGCAAGAAAAGAATATGGCAGCAATCTTAGCGAGGTACTGAGCAAGTTTAAAAATTGATATTAGGTGTTAGTACCACCAATTTTACTTTGATATGACGAGATATTTGAGAGGTAAAGACGTGCAATTTCATTACATATGTGGTTGCTTTAGTGCGCTACCCATTCAGGTTTAAGAGTTGTGGATTCTTTGTAGATGTGCAGTCTAATCTTGTTTGGTTTTTTTAGCTCATATCAGTATAACTGGTTAAGTTTCCTCTTCCATTCCTGTTATTGAAATATTTTGGAGATATATGTTGTCAACACTGTCATTTCTTGGTGTATGTCAGCCTTAGGCCCTGAACATAAATGCTTTTGTTTAATTATTTGGTGGTCTGCTGTTTGATCATGATGTTGATGTTTCCTGTTGAGTGCCGCCTTTGCATCGAATAGAAGTTCTCATCTCCCTGGTTGTTTGAATCATGATCTGTTTTTTGTTTACATTTGTCAAAATGCTTAATTGTTAAGTACAGTAGTCATATGAATAGCACGAATTAATTCAGATATTTTTTTTTATTTTCTGAATTGCATTGTCTGAAATTCCATACTGCTTAGTTTGACAGAACAGAGCGACAAAACATACCATGTTCCACAGCTATAAATGTTATTTGATGTACATGTCATTCTTAACTCTCCATGGCTTGCTTTGCCGTCCTGTTCTCATGGGTGGATTTACATAGAGCCATATAACCATTCCATTCTTCTACTATTCATGCTACTGCTCACCTTTATTTGTTGAAATAACGGAATAGCTTTCTCTCATTACTATTTTGCATGCATCGGTGATGTCTTAATTCAAATTGTATGTTTGTAGAGAACCAAGTGCCCTGACCTACGCTATAAAGAGATCATGTGAAAACAAAGCTGAAGTTGTTGCTCAGGATGAGAAGGAAAGTGGTCTTCGAGCAACACTAAACCTGGGTCATACATTTGGTCATGTACGTGATATCTCCGACCATTGTTGTTTCTTATGTTAATTTTATCTGTCTTGCATTATGATGGTTCATGTAAACATAATTGGATGAGTTGCCAATGCAGTAAGAAGTTTGCTTTATTTTTGTTGCTACTACCTACTCCCTCCGTTCGGAATTACTTGTCTCGAAAATGGATTGTATCTAGATGTATTTTAGTTCTAGATACATCCATTTCCGAGACAAGTAATTCCGAACGGAGGGAGTACTTGGTTGAAGCATTTGATGGGAATGACTCATGTACTCATTTTTGTTGCTTGCTAAAATAAAAAATAAACCAAAAAAGAATAGTATTTGTTTGCTTTAAGTGGTCAAATACTTTTCATTGTGATCTGTAACTCATTTTTTTGTTGAGTTGGGGTAGCATTATCCTTTTATCTAGAAAAATTGGTATAAACCTGTAGTGAATAACATCTGAAACAAAGTTGTGCTTATTGATGATATTTTTTATGCTAGTTTACTACAGTATCTTCTTTGTCTATATGACTATATGGTACGTTGACTCTCCAGACTAAAATTATAATTTTCTTAGTTAATGCTATATTTGTGGTATGGGGCATTTGTTTTTGAAAACTGAAATCCTGAATTTATTTTTAAGATGCACCATCCCACCAGCTATTACATGTCTTAACTATTTGGGTACCCCTGTACCAGGAACTAAGCAACCTGAACTGACCAAACTTTTTTGGAATTTAATGGCATCCTTCTGTTGTGTGAAGCATCCATGTTACTCACTGATCATTATGTTTCATTTAATTGCCAGGCTATAGAAACAGGGCTTGGCTATGGAGAATGGCTCCACGGGGAGGCTGTTGCTGCTGGAACGGTAAGACCACCTGAACATTTGATACCACCTCTTAATCATGATTTTCTCTTGTTTCCTTACTGGCGTCTTCTGTTTCCGGGATGGCACTACCATAGGTTATGGCAGCTGACATGTCTTACCGCCTGGGCTGGATAGACGAGTCCATCAAGAAACGGACATTTGACATACTAGATCAAGCCAAGCTTCCCGTGACACCACCAAAGGGCATGACGGTAGAGAAGTTCAGAAACATCATGGCGGTAAGTACCTTAAATATCGGCAGAAGCAGGCTGATATGCTTGGACATCTCATGCATTTCTCTTTTTAATATTGAAGTCCAATCTTACTGATTGATCCCTTGCATGGCGCATCAGGTCGACAAGAAGGTCGCGGACGGATTGTTGAGGCTCATCCTTCTGAAAGGACCTCTGGGAGGCTGCGTTTTCACCGGCGAGTACGACAGGAAAGCCCTGGACGAAACCCTCCGCGCTTTCTGCGACAACTGATCGTTGTCAAGCTGGAGCTCCAGCATTTCTGTATACTAGTAGGCTGTAATATCATATCAGAGAGAGAGAGAGAGAGAGAGAGAGAGAGAGAGTGAGTGCATTGTGTGCTACCTTTATTTTTTCATTTCGTTTTGGTGAGAATAATGGAATGCGGTAAGGGGTTGGTTCCAGGTCGTAGTACTACCAATTCATTGTAGGGCATCATGCCTCAGTAATCGTGAATCTTGATCAGTCATTTTGAGAAACACAATTCGGAACGAGATCCTCTGACGTAGGAAGTTCTACTGCCGAGGGATGTCGTTCACGCTACACTGTTCATCAGGCATCCAACAATACTCACAGGAACTACAGCCTGCGCCAGCTTTCTCGCTCGGCGGTGAAGAGCAGCCGCTGCTCCATCAGGGCGCGAGCAGCGTAGCCGTGGAGCGGCAGAGCCAGCCGTTGCCCCGTCCATGGCATGACGATGCCTATCCGTCGAGGCGGCGGAGTCAGCCGCGGCCGCGTACAGGGTGCAACGCCCCCGGTGCCGTCGAGACCGTTGAGCCGCGGACCAAGCATCGTCGATGCCGCCGATTCTTCTCGGAGGGTTTCTCTGCTGCTTGCCTCGCGTTGCATTGGTTTGCTGCTTGCTTTGCCTTGCTGTGTCTTCAGTTTCAGTTGTGCAGAAACTGTAATTTTAGTTGTGCAGACAGCAGAGAAGCAGCAACAACAGAGAAACAGCAACAATGGAGAAGCAGCAACAGTAGGAGAAATGCCAGATTGAGCTTTGTAACTGATGTGAACTGGTTGTACACTTCAGTGAATAGTGTGACTGAATGTTGTATCCAGATTGTAATCATGTAATATGAGAGTGGAGTTGAGTGAAATTGAGTGTGATTATTGTTACAAAATATTGAATGTGAATCACTGACGTTCTTTGTACCGTAACTATTGTACTGTTGGGATCTAAGACTGTCAATTTGAGAGCATAATACTGGTGCTGTTAATTAAAGAGGATATCACGTGTTGACAATTTGAGAGCATGTCCTTCCAGGATTACAAAGTCATAATGCTTGCTTTGGTTGCCGAATGTACAATGAGCATGCATACATAAATTGGAGTATTATCTTTGAAATGCATGGCAAAAGGGATTGAGATACATAAATTGGAGTATTATATCTCAGAACCTAGAACTGAACTGAATGGCCAAAAGGGATTGAGCAACTGTAACCTAGAACTGAACTGAATGCCCAAATCTGCCAAAACCATGCTTGCTTGTGCTCTAATTCAAGTACAGAGCACATGATTGCCCAAAAACAGTAGTGCTTCACCACGACCCAGTAAATAGATCATCTGTGATTGGTCCCTGGAAATTAAATGTAAGTAAGTTGTTATTGAAATACAAAGTCATATTCGGACGAATAGTACTCGAAAAAGATTTCTATAAGAGAATAAGCAAAGAGTAGCGGTAATTGGGTTAAGAATAAAATCAAGTAAAATCAGTGTACTTGAGATAAGAAAAATACTTGTTAGAATTGGAATCATGGTGCACTGTATCAGCCTCTTCTCTTTTTGTTGCATCTTCCATTAGAAGAAGGAATGCTTGATCAGAGTTCAGCAGGTTGGTTTTTTCATCAGAAAAAGGGATGCCTGATCCGAGTTCAGCAGGCTACTTCTTCGATGAGAAAAAAAGGGAAATTTGATCAAGTTCTAAAGCAATCTGATGGTAAAAGTTTAATCAATTCCAGTGTTTTATTCACGCAGGCTACTTCTTCCATCACAAAGGACTAGGAGCGGAGCAGTCGTCCCTGCTGAGCGCCGGGGACCTCCTTCCCATCAATTTTGGCGCCGTTTCTGTGGCCTCTCGCGCCTTTTTCCCTCGCTTCCTTCGCCTCTCGTTCCCAGAATTCACACTTCATTGTCTCCCTTGCGTCGCTGCTGCTCCTCTGCCGACGAGAGTTTTTGTTTTCGTTTTACCTGAGCATAATAAACCTGCAAAGCCATGGCTGTTTTGTGACTCGTGTACTGTGTACGGGGCAGCTTAGTTTCTCTAAACAAGTGTTAGATGGTGGCTGCACATGGCGTATCTTTGAGGGCATATTCTGCTGTCGCGTGCTATCAGGGTTCAGATTCGGAGTTGCTGCAGTGCAGCGCCATTGTTCGATCTGGAGGAGATATCATGTGCGGTAAACAAGGGAAAGGAATCTCCCCCACCCACAAAAAAAAAAAAAGGAAAGGAATCTCCCGGTGCAGTGTACTCGGGGGACACGATTGGTGGCCTGGCGTCCAAATAATGCGTCAGTTTTACCCGGATCCCGTGAGTCGAGCTGTTCCTTCTCGAGTTCATACGAAATCTGGACGTAATTCCTGCGTTGCAACACACGCACACGAACTGAACGCGTATAAACTTCTGACGCATCACGAATGAAGATCGTAACAGAGGTACACAACACAAGCACACAAGGAACTAAAAGGAAATCATCATTAGAAGTGGTAACACTGCATCAGTACATTGTTGTTACAGCTCGGGGGAGCAGCCTCGTCAGGATTCCGTCTCGGGCGCGGTAAAAAAAAACTACCCACGATCCATGAACGGGCTACATCCATCAGCAGCTCCCTCGCCTTGCCATCCCACAGTAGAGCAGCGGTGGCTAGAGCCGGAGCAGGCGGCGGAGCTCGTCGGTGGCGCCGACGTCCACGCCCCCGCCTGCCACCTGCACGGCGCACGGGGTCGGCACCTTCTTCCGGCCGGCGCCGGCGGCCAGCAGCAGCGACGTCGGCATCGGGACGCTGCTCGGCGGCGGCGACACCGAGTACATCGAGTCCATGGACGTCCACGCCGACATAGGCGCCGCCGCGACCACGATGGGCGCCGACGCCGCCCCGCTCGCCGGCTTCCTGGGGCTCTTGCTGGCGCGCAGGTCGGCCGGCTGGCCTGCCCGCTGCTGCGGCGAGGCCTGGAGGTGCTGCGGCAGGGGCAGGAGCGGCGGCTGCGGGAACGGCCTGCAGGCCATCATCAGAGAAGGCGACGCTGCGGGGGAGGAGCTGCTGCTCAGGGATTTCAAACCACACTCCATCTGTGAGTCGGTCTTTCCAAATCTGGTGCCGAAACAAGCGGCTGATCTGAGCAGAGTCGGCTGATTATTCCGAGTAAACGTTGAGAACTGAACTAGGAATGCAAAGGAAATCAAAGCTCCAACCAACAAAAACAGGCGGAGAGATGTACTAGAATGTATGTGTGTATCAAAAGCAAAAGAAAATGGAGAAGCTTGCTTGCTTGCTCGGATGCAGATCTAGATCGACTAAAAACAGATCGAGATGCGCGGGAGCAGGTAGCAGCCCTGGCAAGCTAGCTAAACTTGAACAGAAAAGAGAAAGAAAGGCAGAAAGGTGAGCCGGAGAAGAAAGAAAAGACGAGCAGAGCTGATGAGCCAAGGAAGGGAAGAAGACGAGTGGAGGTGAGGTATCCGTTGTGGCCGTGGCCCGGTGCCCCTGCCATTATATAGAGCAGCGGCGGCAGCGAGCGGTCGGCCGGTACGGTACCACCCGCTCCCCTCCTCTCCTCCCAACGGACACTTGTGGGGGTGGACCGGTGGGTGGGAGCGCGTACGTGGTGCGTTAACGTACCGTGCCCCGTGCTCGCCGTGCTCGCTGGCGCGCAGCTTCCGTCGCCTTTCCTCGGCTCGCTCGGGCGGCGAGCGGAGACCGGGCGGGCAGGGACGCAGCCACCTGCCTTTGGGTCATTGACATGTGGACCAGTCATCTGTTGGGCCCACATGTCATAGACATAAAGGTAGGTGACTTAAGGCACCAAAGCATCGTCCGGGCGGGCAGAATGATTTGTTTTCCGTTGGGGGACGCGCCGCATATGGGAGGTCGCGTGCGCTGCCGACAAGGCAAGGGGAACTACTGGGGGGAGATTCGCGAGCGATCGGCCCGATGCGTGCGGGGCGGGGCTGGCCGCCGGCCGCGGGATCGTGGAAAGTCGTCCCCTGCTCTGCTACTATACCGTGCGCGGTGCCTCGCCGGCCATTCACGGCTCCGTGCCGACGGGGGGCGTGCGTGCGTACGTTGCGTGGGTTGGGCCCTGGCAAACCCTGGTCGTTCGGCACGCACGGCGTGTGCGGCGGCGCACCCCTGCATGCCACTGGGTTGCCGCATGCGCGCGCCACCACCGCGGATACCTCACCGGCTGCTCACGCCTCCGCGCGCCGTGCGTGATGGTTCGGAGGGGTGCTTGCTTCGCTTGTATGGACGATGGAGGCGGAGCTGGTGATGGTCGTGTTTTTCCATGGAGGTGTGGCGGGACTACTGCTGGGCTGGGTGTGATGGTCGTCTTGCCCGTGCGTACGTGACGGCAGGTGTCCATTTGTTTGTGTTTTGGCTGGACGATCGCCTGCCTCGGCTCCGGCGTCCTCGATGCCTTTCACTCTAGTTCTGATTCAAGATTCAGGACGATGGATGTGCCAAACTAGCCCAAGAATTGAACCACGTAGACGTAGACGTGTAAAATGTGGCCCTAAATTTGTTTGGATTGGATTGCTCTCGGTCAAGCATCACTGTACATGTACAGCCTGCACTGGACAGGGGACGTGTAAAATGTGGTTTGGGGAATCGACTGTACAGAGATAGATCCTGGCCGTGTACCCCGCAAATCCTGTGGACACCCTTAACATCAAAATTCGAAAATTATTGCTGAAATTAGAACGATCATAGGTTGTGTTGACGATTCACCTTACATTTACTGCAGTTCTGCTTAAAACATACTTGTACGTTCTTGTGCAATGAGAATGTGAATGTCCTGCCAGAGGAGCCAAAGCAGCACCACGATCATTCTCTCCTCCCACAAAAAAAGACACTGAACATCAGTTATGTAGCGATGAGACTGAAAGCTGATCGTCCAGCAATGCATCTAGTCTAAGATCTCGATTCAAATCATACACCACATCCAGGGTAAGGGACGTTGCAAATGGGGTCATGAGGCTATCCACGCTTTGCCAATTTCCTCACTGATGGCAGCA